CTTGTCTATATTCATTAAACAATTCTGAAGATCTTAACTAGTCAGTTCATGTGTGTTTAAGCCAAACTAACCTTTGTCATAAGGTAGATCCCAAAGAACAAGACTGTACATCCCTGATCTGAAGCAAAAGCCAAATTTCCTGCTTTTTTCCAACCCGAGTTTACCCATAAACATTTGATTACAATGCTTCTGTTCGTGTGCGGCATACATGTTCTAACTGAATATCAATAATTCCTGATACATTTTCAAAGCATTCCACTAACAGCGCAATCTTCCATGGCATTTACAAATGGTAATGGTGCAAGTCAACAGACAGAACATCTCGAGGAATCTATAGATTTTCGTGTGTGCGTGTCACGGAAAATTTGTTTATATATGCTGCCTCTTCTCTCTCCTACGTGCATCATTTCGAAAAGTCTGCCTTCCATTGAACTATCGAACCTTGGGTGTGTTATATTGAGTTCCTCTACAAAAGGGGGGCTCGTCCGGGTTGGCGAAGAGGAAGGAACAGCCCTGGATGAGGGTGAAAGGAGGTTAGCTTGTACGGAGTGAGGGGCTCATAGCCACAGGGTGCTAAGTCTCCTCTGATCCTCTGTCTCTGATTCCTCAATTCAATTCTTCCTCTGGGTGATCGTGATCTAGAACTAGGCCAATGTCACAGACTGTTTTTCTGGCTTACAAGCCTGGGAAAAAGAGACTCATTTTGCACTCACTAGGCCTGTTCACACCAAAAATGATAACTATAAAGATCGCACATTTCAGCAATCTATAATTATATTTATGTCTTTAAAGGTGCCATAGAATGCACTGATACATTATGTTTAAATTATTCTCTGATATCTACATGGTATGGTATGTGACCTATGTTAAGTGCAAAAAATTTCCCAAATTTTTCTAAATTTGTTTGGGGTTCTAAATATTTTTAGAATTTGTATTTTCTGAATTTTGCGTTTCGTTGACAAGCTGTGATTAAATGTCTGGTTGGATTACCTAAGAGCGATATAATGGCAGTCTCATGTTCAAAATAAGAGTCCCACATACACAGAAAATATAACATGTATTAAACCTAAAATTACATATAATTGTTGTATAGACGTTGTAATCTCGGGTGATACGGTGGCGCAGTAGGTAGTGCTGTCACCTCACACCAAGAATGTCTCTGGTTCGAGCCTTGGCTGGGTTAGTTAGCATTTCTGTGTGGAGTTTGCATGTTCTCCCCATGTTCACATGGGTTTCCTCTGGGTGTTCCGGTTTCCCTCACAAGTCCAAAGACATGCGGTACAGCTGAATTGGGTAAGGTAAAAATAAATAAATAAATAAATAAATTGTCCATAGTGTATGTGTGTGAATGAGAGCGTGTGAGTGTTTCCCAATGATGGCTGCAGCTGGAATGGCATCCTCTGCATAAAACATATGCTGGATAAGTTGGCGGTTCATTCCGTTGTGGCGACCCCAGAATAATAAAGGGACTAAGCCGAAAAGAAAATGAATGAATGAATGAATGTTGTAATCTTATTAGCAAAGGTTGTGGCCAATCAAATTCCTCTGGATGTGTGCATAATTCATGCTTTTTACCAGGATTTTACACTCATGGGATTTTAATGAGAGTGAGGAAGCAATGATGAACAATGGTCAATTTCATGTACTGAACTCTTATTTTTCAGTTATGCTTAGTTATATGCAGATTTTCATTTTAAGGCACCTTTAAAAGTGCACTATGATTCTGTTTATTATCACCACTAGCAGTTTGTTGATTGGTTCTTCAAATGCACTTCAAAGAGTATAATCTGATTGATTTTATTTTACTTTATTGTTTATCATCTGTGAAGAAAAATCATTCTGTAAGTGATTCTAACAATACTGCTACATTGTTTGGTTGTTATAGTTGTAGGCCTTTTCTTTTAATTCAACCGTCCACCCCTTTTTACCATAAGCATGTTAACATGCAGGAAAAAAAGGTACAGAAACTTTTACAGGGCTAATTTTTATCATGTACACTGTAAAAAATCTGTTATTTAATTTTTTTTTATGGCAGCTGGGGTTTACCATAAATTAACGGCCATTAAATAACAGACATTTACCGTAAAATAACCACAGTTATTTAATGGAAATTTCAGTACTTTTATGTCCGTTATTTTACGGTAATTTTTTGTAATTTAACGTCTGTTATTTTATAGGAAATGTCTGTAATTTAACGGCTATTATTTTTCGGTAAATGTCTGTACTTTAACAATCGTTATTTTACTGTAATTGTCTGTATTTTAATGGCCGTTGTTTATCAGTAAATATTTGTACTTTAACAACCATTATTTCACGGTAAATGTCTGTAATTTAATGGCCATTATTTTACAGTAAATGTCTGTACTTTAACATTTGTAATTTTACAGTGATTGTCAGTAATTTGACGGCCTTATTTTACTTTTTTTTCGGCACCCCAGCTGCTTTATTTTACAATGTAGATACTAATATCTACATTGCACATTTTTCAAAAGGTACTGCCCTAGTGGCAGCTTTATACAGTTTTTGTCTTTATAGGAGATATCAATATAAAACTCTGGCATACAGCATAACATGACGTCAGTTGCTACTTCCCAGCATACACCACACCTACTATAAGGGTACTGACAGGTGAAATGTGAGTAGGATAAGGGTTTATCACCCCAAAATATATAACAAGGCTCAGTGTAAAAAATGTTTTAAGGTTAGCAACATGGTTTCTTGTATTCTCAGAGAAACTGCGCAAATCCTGGACATTTAGGGCTACAATAGTGTGATAGTGTCATTGTAGTGCTTTAAAGGTGGGGCAACACAGGGGCTCAGTGGTTAACACTGTCTGTGTTTCAGAGTACTGGGTTGCAGCTGGAAGGGCATCCGCTGTGTAAAACATATGGTGATAAATTGACGGTTCATTCCACTGTGGTGAACTCCAATGAATAAAGAGACTTAGCCAAAGAATAATGAATGAATGAATGAATGAATGAATGAATGAATTCTTTAAGGATACAAATTAAGCTCAACATTAGAGCTACTATACTATAGGTTTTGGGTTAGATAAGAAACTGTGTACAATTCTGCTACTGGAGGCCCACTCTTCTGCATAGGCTAGCTTCTTAACAACAATTTAATAGACCCGGGCCAGCTAATTAATGACTTACAAGACATACTATAAATTTACAGACATGTATGTTAAGCAAGGTAGAGCTGAATTTGCAGGACTGAGCTTGGTACTACTCTAATCACAAGCTATTACAAATAATGGTACATTGTTTGCACATTTTATTCAGAGAATTCGTGAAATCCTGTTCAGGGCCTTAAAACCTTAAAACATCCCGTTGAGATGCAATAGATACTACAAAATAGTTATCTCTTTCTCAAGGGCAGAGATCTCAAGGAAGTACTCGAAAAGTACAAAGACTCTGGTCTATATATTACATTTTTTTCCGTTGTATGACACAACGGGAAATTAAATGAACTCTAGTACTTATATGGACTGCGTTCTGACTGACTTACGCCACACTGCCTGCACAAGAGTGCCATAAAACGAGGCTACTTTCTTGTGTGGCGCACTGAATACACTGCGTGGGAGAGAGTGGGTGAGTTTGAGAATTCTGTGTTAAGGCAAGAGGAGAGAGAGAAAGAGAAAAAAAGTGCTCATTTCTTTTTCAATCTGTGTTTCACAATGCATGTGTGCCTGGAGAATTGCAGCTAAAGTTCACATGGGGGAGGGAAGGTACCTGCCCCCCATCTCGCAAAACCCACTAGAGTTGGGGAGAGGAGGGGGGGGGGCTAGAAAAAAAGACAGAATGAAAAAAGTGCCATTGAACTCTGACTTGAGATTGTGAAGGGAGAGAAAGAGAGAGGGTGTGAGTCTGAAGAGGGTTAGAGAGAGGGCTTTAGGTGGAGGAGAGGGGGGTGGTGGAGGAGAGAAAGAAGGGAATTAGGAAGGTGAAGGACTGAACCACCCTCATAGCCTTTCCACATGAGCACACCTTATATACACACACACACACACACACACACACACACACCGCCAGGACTCCTGCAATATTTTAAAGGGATAAGGCTCTGAACAAAAGAATTAAAATATAGATCACACAAACGGCCTCCCCATCTCTTGTCCGGCAACAGTGTGGAAACAAATTGGATCAGAGAGTGAGTGAATGAGTAAAACGCTGTACTGTCAGGGTCGTAAAGATGCTCATCGCACTTGGTGTGGTTCAAAACGGCGATAAAATCAACTGTGATCAAAGTAACATAAATATTTAATTAGAGCCTAATTTCAACCATACATATTTTTACTTTATCGACTATTTGTAGTAGTAGTTGATCAAATAAAAAATATGTCATTTAAAAATAAAAACAGACATGTTAAAATGAATCCAAAATAAACATTGGAGACAATACAAAATACAAGTGCAGCCCAGACTCTGCCTGCTTTTTCCTGGGTAACACATAAACACAAATTTCAGCTTTGAAATAAACATGTAAGCCAATGCCTTGCAGGATACAGCTCTGACTGGAGTCATGTGACATAAGTCTGCTTTACTCCTTACCACCAATGAGCAAGGGCAAACGCTGTTGCCATAGTAATCCCTCCTATGTTTGCCATCCAGCATTTTTTGGGGAAAAAAGAAACCCGTTTTGATGTCACGCGAATGCCAGTTCAACCACAATATCTCAACAAAAATGTAACCTTGATATTAACACTTCAATATTTTGACTACAAAAAACAGACCTAACTTGAAATTTGAACATTAACCACAACAATATTTTATTCTTGTTAAAATATATGGTTATTATAGACATAATTTATTATTATTATTTACATATGCATGGTAATATTTGCCCATAAATGATGTAAACAAACATACTTCTATAGAAGTTAAATATGCAGCAATGGTGAGAGAACCTGTTACATGGTTTGCAGTTAAAAATGCAACCTCATGCACAATGAAAGTCAAGGTCCTATTGAGAGCAAATCACAATGCCAAATTACTCACCTAATCTGTGGTCATTTGGGTTGTGTTTTATCACTGATTTCTCCCACAGTCTCATTTTCCTGTAAAAACAGAATAACACATCTTAGTGAGCATATACACTGAAATCTGAGTATTTTAGCATAACTTTGGCTGTTTTAGGATAATTCAACATGATGCTGTTGTTTTTTTTTTTTATTTAAATTTGTGACTTAATTTTGCTAATCTTACATCTTTGTGGTGCTCTGTGAATGACCATCAGATACAATTAAGCGAAGCTATAAATAGCTGCTTTTCAATTTTAAAATGCAGCCTGAATTCAGATTAGACATCACATTATTTGTTATGCATGATGGTTCAGAACATAATGACAGTCAAATTATGCAGGACTCAAAAAGAATAAAACATGTTCAAAAATAGATATAGAAAAGCTTATTATACAATAGCACCCCAGATAAATCGTCTTACATAACCACTAAAAAGCACTGGAGATTTGTGAGATGCCAGTTTAAAAATCTGTCCAGATTTTCCAACCAGGAGACCACAAACCCTTGAGAGTCTCTGAAAGCAATCCAGGGAGTTCAAGGAAATGACAATGCCTTCCCCCCATAAATGTACTCTAAATATTTGCTAATTATATTTTGAGAATTATATATAGTGAGCATTTAGGGGGGGTACCAATGCAATCCTCAAACAGAAATAAATCGTTCACTTATGGACTAAAAGATGAGTTAAAAAATATTCATACATTATGAAAAAAGTGTCTTGTAGTGAGAGAATAATAAAACCCTTGGAAACTAGGAAAACTTCTAAAACAGAACAAGCGAAAATTATTCAGCACATGACTGCATAATGAATTTAAGTGGTAAAGCAGTAATCTGCAATATACGATATCATAACAAACCAGTTGAATTCAGTTAATGTCAGTTAAAGCTCCAACCGAAATTAAATTCAAATTGTCTTTTGACGGTTAACAAGCATATTAAAGCTCGTGGCTAAACTTTAGAGAGACCTGAGTCAAATGAAAACAACAGAATATAGACTAGTTTTGTTTGGTCGGTTGTTCTTGGTTTTTAATCTCAGACAGCTTCTGTTACTGTTTCATATGCATTTTCAACATTTTAACCATCTAATGAAAACAAACGCAGCTTTCAGTCATGGTTAAATTCGTTTTTTTATTATTCGGCTCCTACCTAAACATCTTTTTCCCCGGCATCACAGACGCTTCACGTGTCACCTGAGGGGTTTTGGCGCGAGACTGACAACAGTTGTGGCGCCGTGGATGACCAAAAGTGCTGCCTAGGTAGGTAGTTGAATTAGTTAGACATAGACTTCGTGTTTTTCATTTAACGGTAACGTTATGTGGATTTATAAAATATTTCGTCGAATACGATAAATAATTAAACACGAAAAAACGGAGATTTCATTTCACTGTTTGGACATTCGCCTCTACACTACGGTATCAACAGCGAGTTCTTTTTTTAAAGTAAAAAAAAAAAGTCTGTGGTGTCTGTAAAATATTTTCATATATCCTCTACTTCATAGGGCCTTTTTAAATCTGCCAATGTTAGACTGCAAATAAAGGATGATTTTCGTTCCCATTTCATTTCTTGGATCAGAGGCCGTTGCTAAGATACCAAACTCAGAATTCATAAGTTCAGCGGAGAAATGATTGACATTTGCTTTTTGAGGTAAAAATGAAAACTGAATAATAATAGATAAAAAGTCCAGTTTTATTGTGAGTAACAATGCCTATTTGAAACCTAATCTATTTGAATGAAGTTCAGAGAGCGGACTGCAAACAAAATTACTCAAAAATACAATGTAGGTTAAATACAAGTCTGTGTGAGATTAAAGAATAAAAATTGTCACTGACACCAGTTTTAATAATACAAACATAACTCTTGACTGTCACTAAAGCTCCACTGCAGCATTAGGAGAACAATAGAATTATAGAATATGCACAATGTAGTCATATTTACACATATAATGCTCTATGTTGTCCTTAGCAAGTCCTACAAGCTAAATTTACTTGACCAAAAAAAAGAGATCTAACCCTAAAAAAGAAAAAAAAAAAAGAGAAAACCCAAATATATTTTAGTACCCCCATTCCGGCTGTAAATTAACTACCCAAATGTATGTGTCTTTAAAAAAAAGTGAATACACCCACAACGAATTTTAAGACATTATGTCAACTTTAAAAAATAATTAAAACAGCACAGCTGATTTTGAGGCCTTGTAAAATGTACCCTGCATTACTGATATCCAGCAGTGTTAAACAAGTATTGTGTACATTTTCTGACTATCTTAATACAATACTGAATTCACAAACAATTTCTATATGCATAAAATGGGTTGTGCATATAGTTAATGATGAATCTAGAAAAACTGGTTCCTTCATAGACAAGTTAAACCTATTAACAGAATAAAATAAAAGCAATGTGTCAATAAATTGGTCTAATATCCTCCTGAACCCCCCTTAGCCACATTTATTCTCATATATTTTTAATCTGCAGTGAAACTGGGATGCAGACTTGGTTACATTTAATTCAGATTAGTATTAGACGTAGACAATGGCAGTGCTGCATATGCCAGGTGCTAAGACAAGACTCCATCTGCTGGGGCCCCTAACGCAGGACCAGACACATATTAATGTGGGAAAATGTCTGGGGCGCCTCTCAGACAGGCCTCTCGCTGCACCTCAGACTCTATTTGTGTCATGCATCTATTACACGTCTGTGACCACCCCCATAAATTTTAACATCTTATGATTATGGCAATAAAATCACAATTACTAAGAAAATCATAGACCAGTTTGCTTAAGCTGAGCATCACACTGTATTTGGCATTAGCAAAAATGATCTAAAACCTCACACTTCTATTAAAAGAAACTCACCAAAAACTCAATGGGGAGACTTGCGTTAGACCTATTTCAAGCTGTCATATTCTATTTTCCACATTATTTTCACATCTTTAAATTAAAAATGTCTTTGTGTAATGTAGCACTAACCAATTAGTGACATAGATTTCCTTAAACTAAAGCTACAGTACAACTGATAGATACAAGCCTGTAAATAGTGCTAATCAGAGGCCTTGTAGTTTCATAAAAAGTGTTCCATTTTAAAATCAAGCACATTTGCGCACTACATGTGTCATTGAATGATGTCATAAGAAGTCTGTTTAAAATAGCCTTGCCATTCCATTTATAAAATGATGTCGTGAATGATCTTAGAATTTTAAACAGCAGCAAAATTCTAAAGAGGAAAGGAAAAACATCCACTAATCCACTTATTGTAACACTGTAATGTCTTGCAAAACACACTGTTTGAAAGGTGTACAAAGACGAGGTCAGCCTTTAACCTGTTTCTGTTGTCTTAGCATAAAATTTGAAACATTTTATAGTTTATATTCTATGACAAGTCATACACATTGATGATTTCCTTGTTAAGGCAATTCAAGAAGACACAAAGAGTGTCAAACCACACACACACACACACACACCTCCGAGGTTTGACTTTCCCATATTATATGAGAACCACGTGACCCAAGAGATCCGACCAATCGGTTGAAACACCTCGATGAACCGATTCCTGTCATCCCGAATTCATACATCAACATCATCATCACGTCTATGATGGAATGTTGCCCAGCACAAGCACACTTGAGAATGATCGCGAAGTCCGTATCCGCCTGAATACCAAGCCTTTGCGTACTGCCAGCGTACTAACGCGTCCCTATGTAGCCGGAGGCAGATTCCACGTAAAATCCACGTCTTCCACACAGCTTTTGGTATTCCAGTCCTCCCAGAGCATGGAAACGCATTAACGCAGCGCCAGCTGCATGCCTACCGGATTCGATGCTCTTTGTAGCGGACATCGCCGTCTCCCTCATACCCCGACCATTCCAACATCCCTCCGGCTTTCCTGCCTCGTTCCAATTCAAAGCGCTCCGAAGTCTTTGGAATTAGTTTATACATTCGGTTCTCTAGCTTTATGATATCACATAAACTCATACAGCTAGATAACCAAAGAGAAAAACTAACCCATGTGCCTTAAAGGGACCGCCGCGTACGCCAGATGCAGCTTCTGTTGTGGTCACATGGAGCTATTGCATTCACTGCCGTGTGAGCAGCTCCGATACAGTCTCACTCACTCTTTCACGCGCACACACACATACACGTGGGCTAAATACGCTCATATTATGTGCGTTTTATAGTCTAGGTGTTATTGCGCACCTCTTGCGTTTGCACTTTTAGTGCATCGCAGTTGTTTACAATTTATATGAAACGCATGTTTCTTTTATGTTTGGAGCTGGCCTAGCTACAGTATGTAGGCGCTTAAGGGTTTTAAAATCAACATGCACCTCAAAAAACTGCTAATGAATAGATATCTCGTTTGAATTACGATAACCAATACATTGAGACTTTTACACATTCAAATGGTTAGCATTTGTTCGTGGTACACTGTCAAGACACTGCTAAAATAGCATATTGGAAACGTTGCGTTTGGTTTAAAAGATTATTGCGAAATATCTTATAAATTACCATTTTTATATTAGACAGCACGTATATTGAAGGCTATCGATACCCTTGTGGAAGCATTGGGATATTTAGGCTATCGATAAACCGGTTTATATTGTCTCCAGATTAGGCCTATTAAACTATTAAGTGCCTCTTTTCGTAAAATGAAATATTGTGAGGCGTTCTAAAATGTTTACATTTCAATCTGTCATACCCCATATGACATATTATCTGAATTAAAACACTGCATCCAATTGACTTTCCCTTCTGGAATTGCATCTACCTCAAATGAAGCAAATAAATAAAGCTAAATTGCCTAAAATAACTCGTGTTGTTTAATGGTCGTTGATTCAGAATGCCCAACTCACAAAACAAAAAGCAAAGCTAACCACAATTCGACTGTTCATGATTTCTTTGTAATTTCAGAAGTTCTTTATTGTTAGTTATAGATAGGTATTTCACATTCGTGTTTTAGTTTCTGAGTTCGTTAAAGAGCCAGGACATTGTTTTCCTAAAAAACAAGTTAATAGAATAAGTGCAAGTGAATAGAATAAGTGAATCTCCCTAGAACTTCTGAAGGGTTCGCGTAATAAAATCAGGCTAATGAAAAGATGCTTGGTTCTGAGTGAAACTTTAATTTAAAGCTGTAATATAAGATTAAGTAGACTATAAACTGCTTAATTAAGTAAACTACAATTTGAATTTGGCGACTGACTGGCTTTTCAAAAATTGAATAAAATTTCCCATAGCCTACAATACAAACGAAACTCCTGAATATCAGTTTTAAACGAACTTACGCTTGCAACACAATAGATGAAACGCACACAGCCTAACTTTCAAACAAAGCACAATTAATATCACAAAAAACAGGTAGCCTACTTACGATTTCATTTCCCATCCAGCGTTTTACAAAAAAACATCCAGAACATCCATTTCATTCAAACGACAGCACTCACAAAAAAAAAAAAAAAACGTGAGAACAAGTTAATCTCAAGGTCTACGGGGCTTACGGTTGTCTTTTCGATGCATCCGCGGTTTATTTGCTAAAGTAAAGCCGTTAAGAAATAAATAAATCAGTGTCGTAAAATCTTACAGCTAAAAATCAAGCAGGAGGATGCGCAGGGCTCCGGCAGCAGCGCTGAACGGGTGAAGATTGAAGTGAGGGGCTCCTCTGGGCAGGGCCACGGGGGTCACACCGCCAACACAACTGTGATGTCACCGGTATTAACCATTAATGCTTATTGATACACATGGCTGAGCAGAGCTGAGACACCCGGGGGACGCGCCCGTGACCGAGCACAACTCTCAGCATCCGAAAAACTCATGCTTTAGCTAAACATTGACCTCTCTAACCTGCAGCTGATCCATTAAGTTATTCACAACTCATTCAAATATAATTCATACCAATGATGAGCTGAATACACGTGTTGTTTGATTAACGTGTTTTGAGTTTTTGAATTAAAAACCTTTTTAGTATATATATATGGGAATTGCTACAACCAAATGACACTTATCAAAATGTCAAGGCGGTGTTTAAAATTGTACTGGAGGTTAAAACTCTTGGAGAGGGAACGGAAAGGTATATTTATAGAAGTCTATTGTGTCATTGTGTCATTACAGATCATTTGATAAATATTCAAAAGATAGCAGTGAAGCTGTTTTGAAATATTAATTTTTGAAAAATGGCAGCGTAATGTACCCTATACAGAAAGCCTATTTATTGTCATTTTAGCAACGAGATCAAAAAACAAAGACGAATCATAAATACTCAAATGACTGTTATTTATGATCGAGTTTTCAGCAAATACAGTTTTTTTTGTTTGTTTTTTTTTTTTTTTTAATGAAAACGCATGTTTGCCAAGACAAATACAATGTCCCTGTGGAAAACTATTTTTTTATACGATATGTATAGTATATACATACATTTGAATTTAATAAAGTTGTATGCAAGATTCAAAAGAATGCTTTAGGTAATTTTGCTTTGATGGATACACTATTAATATTAACAAAGCATAAAACAAGCATTTAAAAAATATTAAGATTACATATCCACAACAAAAGATTTCCCCCTTATTTATTATTTAATAGGCCTATTATATAATTTTATCATTTATATATTACTTTCATATGTTGGACAATTACGGTGATAATTTATTTATTTGCCATTTATTTCAGATATTTGTGTATCATTTTGCAATAATGCAATGTAATAGAAAAGAAGAGACATTTAAATCTCATGTATGTTTATTGAGACGGTGAATATCACACTTGCATTCTTTATGAGCTGCCACAGTGTTCTGTTGTGGCCGAATAAAACGTTTATTGGTGTTGCTTGCGAACGTTAAAAACTATGAAACTCGTATAGCTGTATATATGGCATGAGAGCAGAAAGGCTATTTAAATGTTGACAATAAAGACGTGTTACTAAGGATCTAATGTGTGGAAGCAGATTTTAGAAAGCAAACGTAGATTTTAAACGCGTTTTAAGTAAAACAGCGAAGTGAGCCGTAAATAACAGACGTGCGCGAATATGTAATAAAATATAGTCGCAATAAATACGTAAAATAAACATTTTAAAATATGCATGGATGCAGACAAGCAGATGGAGAGTATCTCCCTCCTCCTTTTTTTCTGTCTCTCTTTTTCAGACACACGCCGCGCGCGCACGCACAGGAGGCCTGTCCTTATTTTCCATTAAAATATATTCCCCAGTTCATTTGAAAATGGCATCTCCCGGTGGCTCCATATAAAACAGAATGGACTGTTCCATTAAAAAATAGGAAAGCCTGATATTTCGTGTGCACTAAAGAAACACTACCATGCAAAGCAATAAATTCAATATTTCAGCTAGAGGTTAAAACGATGTATATGCTGGAAAAATTAGAGGGAAAATGGTGGCTTTTTAGCCTATTATAACCCGCATCTAAATACAAAGCCTTATGAAATTGTGGCCTAAATGTGAGAAATGAGAGCACTTATTATAATATAAATTAATAAACAGATTGCAAAAATCTCATAATTATACTGCTACTGAAAACCACTGGTCAAGCTAATCACAGGTTTTATTTACACATGCATTTGAGAAACAGTGGATAAGCCTGTTGTAAACTATGCAAGATAGTTTATTAACTTCATGGAAAATATGTTAAACAACATTTGAGGCCAATTGTGTAAGATATTTTGCAATCTTGGATTTTGAAACTCATAGGAGTAAAATTATGTTGGCCTATGTAACATTATTTGTCAATAACATAAATGGTATATCAGTTTCAGCATGTAGTAAGAAAACAATGAAAGAATTTACATGTGTACGATCGTTTAACAATGCGTTTGGTGTGTTTGTTGCTTCCAAAAGGTTTTTTAACTTTTTTTGGCAACCCTTTTGTTTCTCAAGCGGCTACATAGAATGTAGTGTAATTTGTAGGCAACTGTATTAATGTTATTAGACTAAAATGTTCATCTTAATTTTGAGCTGTTGCTTTTTTGTTGTTCAGTTATGATGTAACAAATGATCACACACATTAGTAAAATTCAACGAAGACCCAGTTTCATTACAATATTTCTTTCTAATAAATACTTCAAAACACATATTTACAAAAATGCATGACCAATATTTTTCTGGCATTTGTCTCAGTTTATAATGTTTATTGTAACATTAAACATCTAGAATAAATTATATACAATAATGTTAATATTTGTGAAATTCTGTCTTCCTCGCACATTTGATTTCAACACCCGCTCTCTCACACACGCGCGCCTGCAGGTTTTAGACACTCCCGCTCTTTGCGTCATGTCCTGTTTCAAATATGCGCTTCCCACCATCCTCAAAAATATCTGTAACCCCACAATACAGGTATTACTACAGGTATTCACACTTTATACATTATATACAATATGCAATACACAGCAAATTTGAATAGTTCAATAAATCGCATAATGCACACAAATAATGCCCGTCCTTTTATGCTACGTTTTTATTTAATTTTTACATCAACGTAAAAACGTTTTATTAGCAAACAGAAATAACAATGATGAAAATTACTCTACAAGAGCTGCATTTTGCAACATGTACCTATTTATATTTGAAACGTACAGAAGTTCGAACTCAAGTTAACAGGTGAAGGGATCTGTCCTTGGTGCTGAAGTTCAGATTCAGAGTTTGTTACATATCCACTATATGACCTGCCATTTTCCAAAGCTCTTGTTATTTTGTTTTCGAAAAGACAAATATTTTTTTTCTTAACACGCCTCATATTTCGCTTTATAACAGTACTTTGTTATTTAAACGTAATAACGTTTAATGCAAATAGTCAGATAGGCCTACTGCGTTATTTAGCAGGAAGATCACATTTCAAACAAACTCTAAATGTTTTTAGATGTTTTCTAAATGTATAGATGTTTCCACACACACTTATACTCGTTATATATATATATATATATATATATATATATATATATATATATATAGATAGATAGATAGATAGATAGATAGATAGATAGATAGATAGATAGATAGATAGATAGATAGATAGATGTACATAATAATTTAGTTTTCTAAAAACATACTAAAACAACAAATTAATAGCTTTAACACAATTTCATCATTCATAAACTATAACAAATTTTAGCCATCATCATCAATAATCGATCTTACAAACCGTATATGTCTCAAAATCAAATATTTGCCTGGAGGTTTATTTATTCGTTTGTACCATTTTAAAGATAGCATAGAATAGAATAGTTGCTACCGCGTAAATATTGTAAAGCAAATTAAAGTTTAACATGGTAAGTCTTTACACAACAGAATAAATACAATATTAAAATATACCCTAAGCCTATATAAATGTTTATATAACAAAAAGACCATGGTTTCTGCAATAAATAATTAAATCTTACCTTTAAGTACAGTGATGAACTCTTAGTAGCCTATAGTGATGAACTCTGCCTGAAGAAACATAAGTTGCAATTAGAATTAATTAATAAAAAAAGATAAGCTATTTGACAATGCAAATATGGAAAGTAAATTGTTTTACAATAAAACACTGGAAGCGTGTATGTCAGTATGAGTCGTTAAAAAAGTAGAAACACGTGTTTCATTCTCTCTCTCTCTCTCTCTCTCACACACACACACACACACACACACACACACACACACACACACACACACACACACACACACACACACACACACACACACACACACACAATTGTATCATAATTGTCGTTTAAAAACTTATGAAATCAGTTTTTGCAAGCACAATACAATTACATGAAAACAGTTAAGTTTATAATAATAATAATAATTATTATTATTATTATTATTATTATTATTATTATTATTATTATAACCATAATAATAATAATATGAAGAAGAATAAGTAGCATAAGATTTCAAAAAGAGGGGGAAAATAGTTTCTTTCAGTCTGTTGTGGCTGGGCAGAATACAGTTTAAAAAACGTTTGGGGCCTTTTGTGGGGTTCCAGGGATCCTCTTGGTCTCTATTGTTGGCCGCTCCAAAAGCCTGATTAATTAATTTCACACTGTAGCTCCGGAGAAGATTTTCCCACAAACAAGTGACCGAAAAAAAATCAGCCCTAAAGAAAGAAGTCAACATCAAGTTCAACAACGTGCGGGCTGCTCATTATCATGACAATAACGTCTGGGAGCACAGAAGTCCCCTTAACAAGAGGGTCTGGCGTCAATACACTCCACCTCCCGGACCCCGGAACATTTTCCCAGGCTCCTCTAACAATCGCACAACTGTTTGCTCCCCGGGCTCGCCTAATGATCACTTCATACGACGCTCAAAAGATGATTTAGTTAAAATACGCCACATTAACTCCGACAATTGGAAACTTTTTTCTCTTATCAAAACAGCATGGGAAATAGATGGCTAAATGTGAAAACCCCAGACATTTATTAATCTAAAATCTTATTCTAGGCATTAAAGAAAAAAAGTTTGTTAAACTTACTGGCAGCTGCTTTGACTGAAGAAAACACATTGATAAAATCAAACTGGATATTTTAGCTTTTAACTTTAAGTTGACAAATCTACTTAATTCTGGTTGGTATTGTAACGTTTATTGAAAAAAAGTATATATGACAATGCTAAGACTCAATATAAAATTTGGCAACTGTGACCAATGAAAACACTCATAGTTGATCTTCATACACATACAAAACCAGGCTAACAAACTTGCCACAATGGATGCTGACAAAAATGCAATACAAAACACTGCACGTTAAAACGAAGGAAAACTAATTTCATACCATTGTATGTATTATGCTGTATTGCTCCACACTCAATGACTATACAAATGAGTTGCATTCACTTACCAAACTAGGGTTGATCCAGTCTACACCACAAGCTCTAATCCACAAGCAAAGACGAAAAAAAGCCATTGCAGAAATATAAATCGCTGAAAACAACGCACTATTCCAGCCAATCGCGCATCAACTTTACTACTGATGTCCATAATTAGTTTCAAACAGCCTGACTGAATGCTGTGACGCCTTATTAGCTCAAGTGCACAACTTGTTCTCGACATTCCTGCCAATCCAGTGCTACTACTCCTAGGACTGCTGGGATCGAGTCTGTCGTTGGTCTCCACGTGTGGACGTGTGCAGAAAATCAAGCAGCTTGCGTTTAAACAGCGTCCCGTTGTGAATTGATGAGTTATTGTTCCAAAGTCCGCGCGCAGGATCCATTTCGAGCTACGCCCATCTTATTTCTCACGCGGTTTTGGGTTGGCGTATGGGCAGAGTAATAGCTGGGTTCGTTCTATCAGCGGAGAAATAAACGCAACTTATCCTCTAGGCGTAGACGAAGCTTATAAGATTCAGTTGCACCGCTTTAGCTTACGACCATCACAGCCTGCAGGTGCACCTGATCGCACCTTCAGATTCCTGTACTGACAACACACATCTGTACTAAGAAAGTGAGTTCGTGCAGGGCAGGCCAAAATTAATAATACCACAGTTTTCGTTTAGATTGGCGTCTTTTTGCTTGGGTTACGTGAGTGACTAAAATTATTGGATCATGTGAGCTTTGCGTCTACCGCTTTAAAGGTGTGTGTGTGTGTGTGTGTGTGTGTGTGTGTGTGTGTGTGTGTGTGTGTGTGTGTGTGTGTGAGAGAGAGAGAGAGGGGGGGGGGGTACAAACATGCAGGTGTCGTCTTTGCGTCATTTTTAAAAGTTTCGTATGTGTAGCCTATTTTCTCATTTTTACACCACGGTTGATTCAGATAAAACACATTTTTGTTTTAAAAATGTCTAATAGACGTCTAAAGTCGTCTTGGCTAAAACAAGGCTAAATATGAGCTTTCAGTGAAAATCTAGACGTCTAAAAATAGACCAAAACTAGACTATCAAATGAACAGAAATCAATGACTACACATGTAAAGTTTGTCTAATCTGTCTATTTGACGACTAGTCTCGTTTTGGGCTGCTGCTTAAATGTATATTAGATTTTCACTGACAGCTTAAGTTTGGCCTTGTTTTAGCCAAGCTGTCTACGTTTAGATGTCAGACGCCTATTCAACACAAAATTATTTGCAGGGTATTTAGGCTAATATATTCATACAGGTAATATTAGACTCGCGCCCTTAAATCTCCCAACAAAAAAAGAAGAATGGCCTATTAAAATTCTGTACCAGTAGCCTAAGAGGCCTTTAAGTTGTGCGTAAAATACACACTAAAATAAATAAATTTAATTCGCGGGCAGAAGTGCAACAGAAAGACTACAGTATTGGAAATCGACAAATGAGAGGTAGGCCTAAAAAAATCATGAATATAATGTCACAGAAAATTTAGTTGAGTATAGCATAGGTTATGTTTAAGTTGTCAGTCAAATAAATTATCATAAAAATCGACAACTGCTTTTGAAAAAATCGCTTATTAAAACACACTGAATTATCTGGCTTAATTCCAACTATTCTGAATAGTCAAACTTCTAAATTAAATGTTCTAGTTGACCAAAGATAAAAATTGAAGAAAAAAAAACACTAGAAAGAAAAAAAAAAAAGAATAGTATTTATTTAGGCTATACGCTTTTATAACCCGTACATGTGCCGTACAAATGTTTGGAATTCGCTGTTAATAATTTAGTACCATTTAAATATGTTTACCTGATCAAATCAAATAAAAAATAAGACACATGAGAAACTAAGAAATTAACCGGATAGCAGTAGTTAAATAAGCTTTACTAATACACAAAACACAACACAACAATGTCTTTTTAAAATTATCTGAATCTCCATGCCAGAGTAAAATACAGTAGTTTCATTGAAATATATTTTCATAGAATAATGCAGTTTATTTCAGTCTATTATTAACACCACGATATCGCTAAACTAGAAAACAGCGACATCCATCGGTGAGACGCTGCGATGGATGTATGATCATCCATACAAAGAGCTTTCCTTTATAGGCCTATCAATAACGCGTGTTATCTGGTCATGATGAGATATTTACAAAGTACAGCCATTTGAAAGCATCCGTAAAATAATTTATTGTGCTTAAATCATTCCAATGAAAAACAAATGTTAGGCGATAGACAAAAGGGATTTTTAAGATTTAAATCAAATTACATTTTTAGATTACCACTATTTATACACTTATATACAAATATTGCTATTTAGAATTAACCAAATACAATCAGTAATGATAATTAATTGAAACGTTAAGAAACAGAATTTCATCAATGCGATTAAAGCTTAGGCTATAGCCGAACATAAACTTGGCAAAACATCAAACGGCATCATCCTCATTTCGATCACCTAAAATTTAGCTAGGCTATTATGTCAACAATTACCATCGCTATTACAAACAACATTTAGACAGCTAAAAAAGGACTAAACTCATTTACAAAACGCAACTTAAAAAAACGCAAATTGTGTTTAACTGCTTAGAATTTATGCTTTAGCGTGTTGCGCTTAAACACTGTAACTCAAGCTATTTTTAATAAATATAAATATCTAATATCATGATCGTGTTGTTGCATCACAATTCGAAATTACTTCAAAAGGAAACGCGGTTACTGGCATATTTTAATCTAACGTTGGCTACTGTTTAAAATGCTAAAGACGAATTACATTTTAGGAGAAATGTAGGCCTATTTAAGAAAGAAAAAAAAACAGTGGTCAGGCGTATATCCATTTTGTTTTGTAAAACGAGATTTCCTTGAAAATAAACCTTATTGAGTGTGCGTAATGCTAAAAAACATGCATTATGTTAGTATTGAAGTAAGACTAGAGGTAAACTGTGCTATTCAGAGCTCTAAAAAATATATTCTAGCAAGTGAGGTAGAAAATGACTGATATTGACGTTATTATTTAAGTTTTATAGCTCCATATTTTGTTACACGCGTCTAAAACGCAAATGACAACATTAAGATAAAGATTCAAACTGAACTCAAAAATAAAACAGCCACTAAAATTCATGATATCTCTCAGACAGCCTTGAAAATAATTGGGACCATGGTAGGAATGTAAAAGAATGAGAAGATCCTACAAACAAAAAACACTTTCTAATAAGATATATTTTAAATTGAGAAATATGGGTTCATTTGATAAAGCTACGCATTGAATCAACAATTAGTCGAATAAAAAGTAAAAAAAAAAAAAAAAAAACAAGAAAAAAACTTACGTCGATTTAATAAATCAAACACCTTAAATGAGAAAACCATCTTGACCTAAAATCCAAAAATCATTTCATTTATGCTTTTGTTTAAATTAGTAAGTTATACAAAATAAGGTGATTTGTCGCTCAAAGTGATTTAAAAACGGGCTTCTCTGTAAAGGCATGCCTTACATGTTGCACTTGCCCTTTGCTCAAATTTTACAAGTTTCAGTTTGACCCGAGGTCACAGGTCAAACACCAAAACTAAGCCTTTGGATTGTTTTGAGCGAACGCAAATATGTTGAATGTGGTAAGACGCAATTTGAATGTGACGAATTAAGTTCATTTATTCAAACTGTTTACAGTAATATGAAATGAAAAAATGTTTAGACTTAGTATCCTAGCAGATATATATTAAACATCTTTAGTTTTTCAATGAACCTATGGACACAAAATAAACAATCAATGAAACTGACAAAAATCGTCATGAACATTTAGAAAACATCTCATTAAAACAACAGAAATAAACTATATTATTACCCTTTTTCAAATGTGATATTACGATTTTTTTGGCAGCAAAAACTAGTTTTTACTTTTTCTTAATCACAAGCACTTATTGAATATCCAAAGACAGTTCATACGAGTTTACAGGAATATATACATACCACAAGTTGTCGTATGGAGAGATGTTTCCACACTGGCTGTTTCGTGGGAAAAGGGCTCGCCTCGGAATGTCACAGTCCTTTAATTGGAGCCGGACTGGATTTTATGGAAATGAGCATTGAACATCAGTCTTAACGACTGATTGGCACATATAAGAAGAGTGCAAGGGCCATACTCATGTCTTTTAGCAACGCAATTCAGAAGGTCAAGTTCAAGCGCATATCTCAGCTCTCTCAATGCGTGTGACCAATTATCATGCAAGTCGCGTAAAAAGCCATGTGTGCCTGCAGCCCTACAGGGTGCGTTTAGTTGAAAACTGTTCAACTGGTTGGAGTCTTCATTAAAGAGCGTTTAGGAAATTTAGAAAAAGTTATTGCTGTAAAGTTTTTTTTAACACATTACAGCAACGGATTCTTGCAATAGTTCATAACATATTTGTTTGTAACAGGAATAATAATCAAGTTTAATTTATTATGCTTATAGTTCAACAGATACAATCGTTATTTTTATTTTATGGTTTAAATAATCTGGTTTTGTTTCTTTGTTTAAGGATATTTTTTCCAATTATTTCTTTCATATAGGGTTTTCATATATCTTTAAAACATTTTAATCTCAAAATATAAACTACAAAGAAAAGCTTAAAGAATCCTTTTATCAAGGACATATTTTATCTGTTGTTGTTTTTTTTTGGAAAATTTTAGCCTTTTCATTTTGGCTTTAATTGGAATCTTCACTTTTAAAGGTTTTACAAACAACTTTTTTATTCTGAAAACATCTAATGGCATGCTTCATTTCCCTCCTAATGGATTTTTCCTACAACCAATGATATGCAGATCTTGGCTGCATTTCTCAAAAGCATTAAGACTAGAGAACAGAAATTGTTGGTGCACGGTTTTAGCAATGTTTAAGTTTAAAACAATTTGGGGAAACGCAGCCCTGTAGAACTACTGTAAAAATAACTTTCACAATTCAAATCATACACTCCTAAAAATAAAGGTTCTTGATTGGCGTCAATGGTTTTGAATATTCTTTAACATTAATGAAACCTTTTTATTTCACAAAAAGAATCTTTATAAAAGGTGTATAGATGATCAGTTTCTTTGAAATCATTTACTTTGATTATATGGTTCTTTCAGACGTCACAGTGGTGCAGTGGGTAGCACGGTTGCCTTACAACAAGAAGGTTGCTGGTTTGAGCTCCGGTTGGGTCAGTTGGCATTTCTGTGTGGAGTTTGCATGTTCTCCTCGTGTTAGAGTTAGTATCCTCCAGGTGCTCCGGTTTCCCCCACAGTCCAAAGACTTGTGGTGTAGGTGAATTGGGTAAGGTAAAATTGTCTATAGTGTATGTGTGTGAATGAGTGTGTATGAATGTTTCCCAGTGATGGGTTGCAGCTGGGAGGAGCATCCGCAGCGTAAAACATGTTCTGGATAAGTTGGCAGTTCATTTCAGTGTGGTGATGCCAGATAAATAAAAGGGCTAAGCTGAACAGAAAATGAATGAATGAATGAATGAATAAAAGGTTCTTTGGAGAACCAAAAAAGGGAACCCAGTGGGATCACGGTGAAAACCCTGTTAGTTTCTTCCTGATACCTTTATTTTTTTAGAGTGAAAGTAGAACAAAGGTGCCAAAGTTTTCTATAGCCTAAATGTAGTTTTACAATGTTTTTGGTGAATGCAGCCCTAAAGACTTTCTACTGTAAAAAACTTGAACCAAATTCCCAAAATGCAAATCATTCCACATAAAGAATCTATGCAGTATAACACTGAGCAAGCAAAAATGTGCGCGCACACACACACACACACACACACACATATTTGGACTAGATCTGAATAGGTAAGATATGTTTATACTGCATTTTCCGGTACTTTTATCAGTATGTTCCATTTTGATGGGGGAAAAATAGCAGAAGACAGAATTCAGTACCACAAGAGTAGGTTAAGTTATTCAGATATCAGTCTTTTTTACAGTCGTAAAAGCAGCAGCTAACATAAAAACAAGTATGGTCTTGTTATAAACACAAAAACCTTAAATATTGCCGTTCTCTCTAAAAATAAAAAAGCTGTCAAATTGGTCATTTTCTAAATTTTGTAGGCTAGGCCTACTTTTGTAAAGGGTACTGCCACAGTGATGGCTTCTGTACATATCCTTTTGTTCTGAGAAACGTTTTAAAGGTTAGATTTCTTTGGGTTTCCTCAAAAGCAAAGTTTCTGGTAGACAAATGGGACTGCAGAAATCTAAAAAAAAAGCCCATAAAACACCAACAAATGCATAACTAAAAATAAATTGAAGTAGTTTAATTGAGAATTATTTCCCAACAGTGTCATTAACAAAAAAAAACTGAAAGGTAGATGATGTAAACTGTATACAAAAAGGCACTAGGCATTTTGCAGGTTTGTTTCTACAACACCTCTTCATTTGTCGTTGTACATCTTGACCCTCCCAGTTTTATTTCTGTCCTTGAAGAAAAGTAAAGACATTTACAGTTTTACCATGAGGACCAATCAAACAGTACATGCGTTACAGTTTGACCAATAGAACTACAGCTCTCATGCGGCTTCGACATGGTCCAATCAGAGCGAGCGACTGTTGCATACGTCATCAAAATACTCCTTCAGCTGTTCGAACACTCAAGTGTCACCACGAGAGCTTCTACATGGGACATAAACTCATTCATTAAACTCATCAATCGAAGATGGTTTGTATATTCACTTATTATGCCGTGTAATTGACTTGGTGGATTTACTCTCTTAAATGACAGATCTCGATAATTGTTGTTTGCATCTTCTGTTTTGAAATCATGTTAGCACAATGATAGCTTGCAGACTGCTTTATGTTAGACTGGTTAGAAGTATTTTAGTCTCACAACTCTTGTCTTAACGTTCTTTGCACCAATGCAATGCTACTGCAACGCTTTTATCCTTTAGAGATCATTAATATATATATTTTTGTTATATTGGGTAGTTAGCAATAGCATGTTAGCTAACTACCCATGCCTTCCTATGTCTTGGGGGTTTGCAATGCCACCACCTGCTCACTTTTGACAGCATGACTCTAGTGCTCATCTTGAGTGACTGGCACAGGCCCACGGCCACTGAGGTAAAGTTGGTTTTATATTCGTATTTTTGTTTATTTCACGGTCCATATATTGTTAACCACTCTAACTTAATTTGAATATTCAGTCTGAATTAGCATGCAAGTATAACTTGAAAACAACATTAGCACTATTTATTTGACTGTAAACAATGTTGTACTTTGATAGTAATTTAGTGCTACTATGACTTCACTATTTAGAAAGTATTACTTTTCAGAAATTATATTATTAAAGAGAATGTCTGAATGTAGAACCAACTTTACCTAAATCCCACGGCCAGTTTAGTAACGTTAGCGAAGTGTTGTAAACAAATTATAATACAATAAATAAAAATATTTTTGTTTAGAACATTTTGGGCTCCCGTGAGATTACTTTGTTATTACAAAATAAATTTTGTACCGTTAACTTACTTAAATAATTTGAGTGTTTTAACATATTTTTAAAGCATAACCGCTAGACTTAAAGCTAATATATGTTAAATACCACTCTAGTGTAATGAAATGACTAACTAACCTTGTCGTTTCAAACTACATTCAATCTTCAACTCCTGTCAGGTAAGCAGAAAAACGCGGTAGTTCACATGAGACGCGCAAGCATAAAGGAAAACATTGTTTACATTATATACACACATATATACGCACGTGTACGTCCGCCTAGAAGTAGTCCCACCGTTACCAGCATGATTTAGATCAGGGGGGTCCAAACTCGGTCCTGGAGGGCCAGTGTCCTGCATAGTTAAGCTACAACTTCTTTCAACACGCCTCCCTGGAAGTTTCTAGTATACCCAAAAGCTAGTTAAGGTGTGTTTAATTGGGGTTGTAACTAAAATATGCAGGACAACGACCAGTTTGGAAACCCCTGATTTAGATAATTTACTTCAGATCGCATCACCTAAGTGCTTAAACAAAAAATAAACCCACACTTTAACTTTGGAACTCTACAAAACACCTTGCACCATAGATAATCACTGATTGAAGTAAATACTACTTTGGTTCCTTTTTACTTTACTGCACATGGACAAACGGGGTGACTTGCTGGCAGTGAACTAAATTGGCCGTAATGTGTAAATTTAAGAGTGTTTCCCAATACTGGGTTGTAGCTGAAAGGGCATGCACTGTGTAAAATATGCTGGATAAGTTGGCGGTTCATTCCGCTGTGGCAATCCTTGATGAATAAAGGGACTAAACTGAAGGAAAATGAATGAATGAATGGACAAGGCAATATTGCGTTTTGTTTTAACATGCATTTTTATGTGTGTGTCACTTTTAAGGCTCTGATGGGAGTTCAGCTGGTGGTGAGCTTGCTGGCGGTCAGCATAATGCAAAGAATGGCCCCACATCTCTCCTTTGCACGCTGGCTCTTATGTAACGGCAGGTACGAAACTTGTAACTTGTCCGCCCCACTTGTAAACATATTTTATTTCTAACTGTATAACATGTGACTTTGTTGGTTTTTCCCAGCCTTCTTAAGTTCAGACATCCATCTGAAGGCGAGTTGTGTGCCCTCGCAGGAAAGCAGATTCCTAAGACCAGCAGGCGAGACAGGTGTGAGCTTAATTCAAGCAGCTGTTGGTAGTTTCTTCTGTGGCGTTCAGTAACTTATGCTTGCCCTCATCAGGAGACAAAATGGACACGGTGAATCCAAGCCGCTCACAGTTCCAAAAGACATCGATCTTCACCTGGAGAGTACACCGGTAAATGTCATGGATGCACTTGGTAGGTTTTTTCTCAAAGTTGTGCCAAAAACCCACTGTAATGAAGTTAAATGCTGAAATGCTTCACCTACTGTGCCCAACAGTTCTGCGGTTCTTTGTGGAGTACCAGTGGCTGATTGACTTTGCCGTATATGCCACAGGGATTTACCTCTTCACCGAAGGCTACTATAGTGTAGTTGATGCCAGCAAAGAAGTCAACATTGCTTCCATCTGGTGTGTGCTGACTGTTTTGTTTTGCCTGTATCCTTTAACATTGCAGCCCTTTGTGTTACCAGGCCACATAGTGGTTGAGCAGAAAAAAAGTGAAAAGCAGAGCCTTGAACACAATATTTAAGAGGAAGCCAATGTAACTGATAAAAAAGATGAGCATAAGTGGAAATATGTGGAGTGTTTAGACAGGAAAACTCCTTTAGAACCAAAAACGGTACCACTTTACAATAACTGTACATGAATAATGATGTGTTAAAATGTAAACTAAACATTATTATTAATTAATGAGTTAAGGTGCGCACTAATAATGAACTAACTTGAACTACAACATGAGTCACATGAGTGAATATGGCTACCTTAATTACTTGTTAGTACATGTTGTTAATTAATGTATAAATTAACATTTAAGTTTAAGCTAAATGTAACCCACAGGAACTCATGAGCTGTGTAATTATGTCATGACTTCACTTGGATGGGGCACATCATCATTAACTTATCCTTAACTACACATGAATTCCTGTTTAAACTGTTGTGGTTGACTGAACACTTTTTTATTGTTATTTAGTGTAAATGCACTAGACAGATATGCATAAGGTGTTCATGAGCAGTTAAGAATGGGTTGATGATGATGTGCCACCTCCAAGTAAAGTCATAACATAATTATACATTAACATATCATGAGTTCATGATGGTTAGATTAAGCATAAACTGATGTGGTAATAAACACATTAATTAACAAAAAATCATGTATTACTAAGTAATTAACAAGGTTCATACACATTTTTATTACTAAACACATTTTTCCAAGACTTTCAAGTAAATTTTCATGACCTTATGTTTCATGCAATAGCTACATATTCGTGGTAAAAAAATTCATATTTATTACAGCATATCATAAAACACACAACAATCTATTTACTTTCAATTTATATCTAAATTGTACTGTAAAATAGATTTAGATAACGCTTACACCGCACTAATAATGTGAGAGTATGTGATTGGCCATGGACAGAAAAGAAGTAAATAACCTATATTGAAGATAAAACAGATATCTGTTTTCCATAACTTTTCCAAAACTTTGTGGGATTTTCTATTTTTCCAAAACTTTTCCAGGCCTGGAAAATGCCATGTCAAAATTCCATGACTTTTCCATGTTTTCCATGACCGTATGAACCCTGAATTAAGGTAGCCGTTAGGCTGCGGTCACACTAGACTTTTCTCCCCATAGACTACCATTCATACGCACGTGAATGCAAGCTTAAGCTCGTGCGACAAGTTTCGCAGTTCGATGCTTTGCAAAATTCAAGCTTTCTGAACTCTGACCAGCGAAAGCGCATCACTTAACAGCGTGAGACCAATCAAGGATCAAAACACGACTTCTCTGGACAGAAATTTAAAACATGGACCAATCGCTCGCTTTTTTAAATGTCCAATCATCTTGTTTAATACCGCCCTTTTTCTTAGCACCGTATTACAAAATTACGAGCTCAAACACTAGTGTGACCGTAGCTTTCTTTACACATTAACCACAACATGAGTTCAAGTAAGTCCATGATTAGCACATGCATTAACTACATTAATTTATTATAAAGTAATGTTTAGTTTACATATACCACATCATTTTCATGTACTGTTAAGTGTTAGCCCAAACATTATTCTAAACAGCCTTAGTAGGCCTAAGACAGAGCCTTGAGGAACACCTGTAGTAATTTCCAACCAAGTTGGAAAGAATTGAGGCAAATAACACATCAGCACAAATGAATATATAAATGTTATTCCTTATGCTCAGTTAGCTTTTAACAAAGCATACGTAATAGAAATGCACTGTCATTTAGCTACCTGAGAAATTTAGATGTGACCTCTCTCATCCAAAAACAGAAAATAAGTTTGTGTTTTCAATAAGCTTGTCTTCATGTCCTTGACTGAAGTTTTCAGGAGGACGCTGTATCTCCTTATGAGCCACTACTTCCTCTCTGAGGAGGGTGGCGAGCGCTCTGTGTGTCTGGCTTTCGGCTTCTTATCTCTTCTTATTGCGATGCTGGTTCTTGTAGTGAGAGAAGACTACCTGGAGTTTGGCCTTGAGCCCGGTATGTGGTTATCTGAGTTCTTTTTTGGACATTTCACCACTTGTCACAGTGCTTTAATCTTTAATACATTGAATTGTTGTAGTGAAATTGTTCTTTATTCCGTTTTTTACAGGATTTACCAGTCTCTTTGACAATTTTGAGGTCTTTGCCAGAAAGCAAGGATATGAGTGGTCGTAAGTAATGCATTATTAGTTAGAAAAATGCAGTACCCCTAAAACATCTAATATTTAAATATTTTAACAGAGTTCCCTTCACCAAACTGTCAGTGAAGCTGGGCCTGGCTGTAATTTGTGCCTTTATTGGAGCTCTTCTTGCCTTTCCTGGTCTGCGATTGGCCCAAACTCACCTGGATGCTGTTCAGATGAATGCAGATCGTCCAATGATTCAGTAGGACAACTAACTTTTGCATTGTAAAAGAACTGACATAGGGCTGTGCGATCTTATATAAATAATTTATACATTTGTCTTAGTAATGTAAATTAAACTTTGTTATCCTGAGTGAGTTTTTGTGTTGGTCTAAAGGGATAGTTCACCCAAAAAATGTCAGTTTTCTATGGTCTATCAGTGTGTGCAGGTTTCCAAAATTCGTAATGTCATCAGAAAAAGATTTGACATTTTTGGCTGTGATATCTATAAGTTTGTTCAGGTCAATTGAATATGTCACTAAAACCACCTGTCAGTGTGGGAAATCTTAAAGAGTTTATGCATCATTACAGGTGCAGTAGGTGATCTGCCAAAATGCTAACTGGCTAGCATATTATTTTTGGAAGGCAGGGGAGAGAATGTGTTTCAAAGCTACGCCTCCTGAAATCATAAACGTGTGAACTGCAACATGACAGCAGACAACCCACTAGTTCATGTCATTCACCAGTTAGAAATGTAGTTAGTTGTTGGCCGCACTTACATGCTATTTCAGAGCGAATATTTAGAGTAGCATCATGGTAAACCGTATAGGAAGGCTGTCATTGTTCAAAAATGAACCAATGTGAATATAAAAGGAACTTCAGCTCAGTAAAGCAGGCTAGGCGAAATAGCTCTATTTGCTGGTGTTTTTTTGTTAAACTAAATAAAAATCAACATTATCGATGCTTCAAAAGGACCTTATAAAACTGAAAATAGTCACATAAATCTTTCGCTGGAAGATTTCAGTGGCTGAACAACATGCCTGTGTATATAACCTATTTATAACACAACACAATCTACATCAGCTTTAGGGGACTAAAAAAGTTTTAAAACAGAACATTACCTGTCTAACAGAAATACTTCAGCCGTGGTGTCATCCTTCCTCCAGCGTGCAAAAGTAACTGCAATATTGATTTAAGATTTTAAAAAGTTTCAATTCAGCATTTGATTTTAACGCAACTGTGACTGTCTCGTGTGCAGGTGAACGCGTGAACAGATGTGCAGAAGCCCAAATCTACATCTGTTGACAGTTTGGGCTACTTATCAGCCCAAAAATATTTAATTGAATTTAGTAGTTTATTGAAGTAGTTTACTATTTATTTGTTTACTTAAGTTACTTACATTAGTAGTTTACTCAAGTTGTTTATTTTAGTAGTTTATTTTAGAATTAGTTTACTTAAGTCATTTACCCATGTTGTTTATTTAAGCTGTTTAAGTTGTTTACTTAAGTTGTTTAGTAGTTTACCCAAGTTGTTTACTTTAGTAGCTTACTCAAGTTGTTTACTTTAGTTGTTTATTTTAGTAGTTTATTTTAGAATTAGTTTACCTAAGTTATTTACCCAAGTTGTTAACTTAAGTTGTTTAGTAGTTTACTTTAGTTGTTTATTTTAGTTTATAATAGAATTAGTTAATTTAAGTCATTTACCTAAGTTGTTTATTTAAGTTGTTTACTTTAGTAGTTACAAGTTTGGCCTACTTATCAGAATCATGGGAGATGTCGGCCCGACAATATTTAATTGGTTGAACATGTATTTTTAGATTTATGCCTTACCCAGAATATAAAAATACATATAAATACATTTAGATCATTACTTTAATCATTACTATTGGACTGTGAAGAGACTTTCAACCAGCACAACAAAAAATGTTTCTGAAGACAATCACCTACTGCACCTTTAATTTACGTGATTCAATCAAAATGGCTGATACAATTAAAAACTAAACAAGCTTCTGTCTTTATGATCTCAATAGGAATGTTGCATTGCATTTATGATGCTATTCAAAATCGGATTTGACATACCACTATACATTGTTTTTCACTTTTTAGGATTCTTCTGCACATGAGTTTTCTGTCACCATTGGTTATTATTGTAATGTGGATAAAACCTATTGCTCGAGACTTCCTAGGAAACGCACCAATGGGAAAGACCTCAGTTACTCTGTAAGTTTAGTGAATTAAAATGAATTCAAAGTTATTTATTTTATTTTTATTGTCTGGTTCTAATGCTTTTGTTTAGAATTTTATTTTATTTCTTAATTAATTCTTGATCAATGTATTTGTACATTATTTATTGTACATTTCAAAAAATTATTCTTGTTTTCAAATGTTTCTCTTTACTTATTTCTTTTAATGTTTGTCTAAAAATATCATCTTTTCCTCCAGACTTTCCAGTTCTGCCTTCAGCTCAGTGCGTCTCTGGACAATTGTAGTGCTTTGTGTTTTACGACTTCTGCTCACTCGTTACCATCTGCAAGCTTACCTTAACCTGGCACAAAAGTGGGTGGAGCAAATGAAGAAAGAGGCGGGGCGTATCGCTGCCATTGACATCCAGAGGAAGGTGAGCTGAAATGAGATGTAAGATAGTTTTATATTGAACATTACAAATAGCTGAATGTAAAGTGCTAATGAATGTTTCTGAACCCGTTTTGCAGGTGACACGAATTTTTTGCTACCTGACTGTAGTCACACTCCAGTACCTTATACCTATTTTGCTTGTGCTTTTCTCAACTTTGGCACTCAAATCATTAGGTGAGTTACAATACTGTTATAGTTTTTATTAATAGGATACAATATATGTATATATATGTATATGTGTATATATATATATATATATATATTTTATTTGTTTAATGTATTTAAATTTGAATTCCCCCAGGTGACTTCTCATGGGGCCTTGGAGCTGAGACTCCAGGTGTCACCCCTGCACCCATAATCCCCAGTAGCACCCCTCCACCCGTACCCGGCCCAGAAGACGATGAAGACATGGAAGACATGGAGGAGGACATCCAGGCCACCGTAGCCCATCTAACCGAACTCTTCTCTGCCTTGCGCGCCCTCCTCACACCTATTTTCTTCAGGGGAATCTTTGCCTTTCTTACATGGTGGGTCGCTGCCTGTCAACTTATTAGCAGCCTGTTCGGGATTTACTTCCACCAGTATCTCATGCACAACTGAAAAAAAGAGAAAAGAAAAAGTGCCAAGAAATGAAGCTTTGTGGGCTCAAATCAGATCTTCATAGTACTGCAACACCAATATGAACAGTCATGTAAACACGCATCTGATGAAGGCTGGCTCTTCAGAACAAACACTCATATAAGCCCAACGTATTGCGACGGTACTTTGTTGAAGCTGGTTTGGTACAATCAGAAACGCTAGTTAAAGCGATGATTCAGCTAAAAATTAAGATTTACTGCTATTTTAAGTATGCAAGATATTTATTTCAAGAGAATTTTAAAGGAGTAGTTTACCCAAAAATGAAAATGTTATTAATTACTCCCCCTCATGTCGTTTCAATCCCCCGAGACCTTCATTCAGCTTCAGACTACTAGTTTAAATATTTTAGATGAAGTCCTGGAGCTCTCTACAACGGTCCTGAGATGTTAAGGAAAGTCCAGAAAAGGAACTAAAAGCATTGCCAAAACATTCCATGTGACTTTAGTGGTTCAACCATAAGCATATGTAGCTCTAAGAATACTTTTGTGTGGCAACATAACTATAAAAATGACTTTGTTTACCAATGTATTTTACGTCAAGTCACGGTGCACTTAAAGTACAGGCAATACAAAGCTTAAATGTTGTGCTGACAATACATCATACAGCCAGTACCATGATACACACTATGACCTAATGCAGCAGAGCATATATAGGCAAACATAGTGGTTTATATGTTTTTTTTGGGATCGGAATAGTGTTCTTATAGCTTCATATGATTACAGTTGAACCGCTTGGAATGATCACATGGATTTCTGTATAGATTGGAATGACATGAGGGTGAGCAATTAATGATTGAATTTTTAATTTCGGATAAACTAACCCTTTAAATAAGATATTAGCTGAAACTGTGGTTCTTGGGGGTCAATTGTTATCTGTATTTTGATAGTCGAAAAAAAACATGTATAGGCAAAACAAAATGAATACACTTGGTTCCACAGGACAGTGATGTCTTGTGAAGCAAAACAATTGCTCTGTGCAAGAAACTGAACATAACTTAGAACATTATTATCTTTAATCCACAACCTCTGCAAACAGTTTTATTACTCTTGTGTTGCCTGTATGTGTTTTTTGTGTACTCTCAGATTGCCATTATCCACTGACTTGCATTATATGAACAAACAATTTTAGCTTAAATCTATTGAAGAAATAAAAATGGCCTAAAAGTATGGAGCTAGATCAGTCTCAAAAATAATACATTTACAAAATAAAATTCAATTCAAATTCAAATCCAATTCGTACATTCAAAACACGATTCATAAATATGCAAATCCAATCTGTAAATTCAAAATATGATTCATAAATGTGCAAATCCAATCGTAAATTCAAAATCTGATTAAAAAATATGCAAATTCAATCTGTAAATTCAAAACACAATTCATAAATACACAAATCCAATCTGTAAATTCAAAACACGATTCATAAATACACAAATCCAATCCGTAAATTCAAAACACGATTCATAAATACGCAATTCTAATTAATACATTTAAAACACGATTAAAAATATGCAAATCCATACCGTAAATTCAAAACACGATTCACATTTACTTGTGAATTTACAAATTGTTTATAAATTTACAAATTGGATTTTGTAAATGTATGAATTTTTATTTTGTGAATGTATTATTTTTGAGACCGATCTGGCTCCATAGACAGTGAGTAAATCAACAGTAAATTTTTTATTTTTGGTGAACTCCCCCTTTAACTGTAAAGTTAAGCTGTTTTGATTTATCAACAGTTTTGTTAAACACCATAAATATGTGTTGAGCCAATTTAATGCTTTTACCTCAAAGTTTTCAGTCATATCCCATGCGTCATTTCATTGAGATGCGATGCAATACTTCTCATCTGGTAACTCAGGGATGTGGTCCGAAATAATAGTGTTTCTTTCACCAGCACAATATCAAAAACCTGTGAAACGGTTTGGCGCTGTAGTTCATAGACTTGAATGGAATTTCTTTTTAAAGGGATAGTTTACCCAACAATGAAAATGTAGTGATTTACTCACCCTTATGTGGTTCTTTTTTCTGTTGAAGACAAAAGATATTTTAAGGAATGTTGGAAACCAGTAGCCATTGACTTCAGTAGTAGGAATAAAATAGATTGTAAGTCAGTGTCCAACAGAATGTTATGAACATTCTTTAAAATATCTTATTTTGTGTTCAACAGAAGAAACTCAAACAGGTTTGAACAAAGTGGAGTAAATCATGACAAATTTTAACTTTTGAGTGAACCGGCTCTTTAACTTCATTTTTTATTTGATCTTTTAACAGATTGTTACAGCGTATTTTAAATACTGTGTTTGCTGTGTCATTAATGACATGTAACACAGTCCTAATAATTTATCCCATGCTTCATGAATAATCATCTGTGAGGTTTTTAATTAGTTTGCTCTGTTAGTCTTCAGTCACGTCATCAGAGGAAGGCAATAATATTGTTTGAGAAGGTAGACTTAAATCAGACTAATGTTTTTATGTTAAAGCAATTTATTTATTCATTTTCTAATGTCAATTTTAATTTGATGCAAAACAATAAAGTGATCACTGAAAATTAAACCTGAAACTGTTTTTCTATTATTGCTTTTTCAGTTATTATTGATGTTAAAAAGGATGCACACATACTTATATTAATAAACACTTAAGACAGATAGTCAAGTGAATATTTTGTGTTTCAAGTATAAAATCAGAAGTATTTTTTTTTTCAATGTATGACATTGCAGTTTATGAGAGTGTAGTTTTTATTTGTCTATTTTACATTTTCATAAAACAAATTGCCCTTTTTATGTTTTCCCTTAATTTAGTTATTAATTTTATTTAGTTATTTTTATTTTTTTTTATTTTTATATATTTTCATTAAAATTTTGATTATTTTAGGTTACAAAAATGCTTTTGCTTTCTTGGCCAATAACGCTTGAATAAATACAGATTGAATAAGCCAAATGTTATTTTTTATATTACATTTTCATCATATTTTAAATGGTTAAAAACTCTTTGCTGACAAACGAGTAATAATTAGTACTTTGAAAGAAATGCATAAACATTTTAAATTCTAATAATGAATTCATGTTTCTAAAAACTGATCCATCAAAAGGACGTTAATATTTTATCAATGGTTCTTGCTTTAAATGTATACAAGATATTCAAATGTTCGTGAAAAAATTACATTTCCTATTGTTTTGATGTTTGAAAAAACATTTGAACTACTAATAAAGTATATATTGTATATACAGTTAAAGTCAGAATTATTACCCCCCTGAATTATCAGCCCCCGTTTAATTTTTTTCCCAATTTCCGTTTAACGGAGAAAAATATTTCTTCAACACATTTCTAAACATAATAGTTTTAATAACTCATTTCTAATAACTGATTTATTTTATCTTTGCCATGATGACAGTAAATAATATTTGACAAGATCTTTTTCAAGACACTTCTATACAGCTTAAAGAGACATTTAAAGGCTTAAAGGTGCAGTAGTTGATCTGCCACAATACTAGCCAGTTAGCATAAATCTCTGGAACACTGTCCCTCCTCTGCTATCCAAAGCCATGCCTCCAGAAAACACAAGCGCACGTAGCTAAAGATGACAGCAGAACCCTCTCTCATGTGTTGAGCTAAAGCACGGCTGGTGTCATGCAGGAATTACCCTCATTATTAAACTTATTTCTAAACCATACTTGCATGCTATTTCTGACTGAATATTCAGAGTAGTGGTAAACTCCAGGAAGTGCATCACAGGCTGTCATTGTTCAAAAATGAACCAAAATGAATATAAAAGCAACTTCAGCTCAGTGAAGTAGGCTAGGCGGAATAGCGCTGTTTACTGTTGTTTTGTTGTTAAAGTAAATAAAAATCTACATTATCGATGCTGTAAAAGGTCCTTATGAAACTGAATCTTACACCAGAAGATTACAGTGGCTGAACAACACGTCTGTGCCTATAACCCATTCTTAACAACCCAATCAACATCAGCTCTGTGTGACAAAAATAGTTTCAAAACATAACATTAACGTTAACTGTCTAAGAGAAATACTTTCAATTCAGCATGTTTTTACCGCTCGCTCTCCATCACTCTCGTGAACGCGCAGCATGTGTATACACAAACGGCAGAGCTGCGTACAAACAGGTGCGCAGCAGCTCAAATTTGCATTTGCTGACAGACAGTTTGAGCTCCGTATCAGAATTATGGGAGATGTCGGCCCGACACTTTAATTGGACACATTTTTTTTGTCTTATGCCTTACGCAGAATATAAAAATACATTTAGATCATTACTTTAATCAGTACTATTTGAATGTGAAGAGACTTTCAACCACAACGAAAAATGTGAATCTGAAGACAATCACCTACTGCACCCTTAACTAGGTTAATTAGGTTATAGGCAGGTTGGGTTAATTGGGCAAGTTATTGTATAACGATGGTTTGTTCTGTAGACTATAATATATATATATATATATATATATATATATATATATATATATATATATATATATATATATATATATAGCTTAAAGGGGCTTAAAATTTAGTCCTTAAAATGTCCTAGAAAATAAATGAAAAGTGGCGCTAATCATTCTGACTTCAACTGTATATACACACACACACTATTGGTCAAAAGTTTGGGGTCAGTTTTTTTAATAGTTGTTTTATTTAGGCGGCATTTATTCAAATTTTGAGCTAATAGGGTTAATATAGAATTTTAATTTATTAAAGTAATTATAGAGTTTAAATGTAAAATTACATTTATCAAAAAATATTAAATTGTTAAATATTAAATAATTATTTATTACTAATTGCATGTAGTTTCAAATTAAATTATTAATCCAGTCATTGTTGCTTTTATTACTATTACCATTAAAATAATAATAATAATACCAATAATAATTCATACTTGAGTGATTTCTGAAGGGTCATGTGACTGAAAACTGGAGTAATAAAGCTGAAAATTATTCTTTAAAATCAGTGGAATAAA